ATCGTTTGCCAGCTCACCTTTGAAGTGGTTTTAAAAATCAGGGAGGAGGGGCAGAGACCCAAGTTCAGCTTTTTCACTGCAACTTCATAGAATTTGAGGACGTGGGGGATAAGAGACTGCCTTTCCCCCACCAGAAAAATAGCCTTTCTGTTCAGAGAGACTAGAGTATGGCTAATAAAAAAGGCTGCACTACCCATCAAGTACATCTGTGTGTCCTCATGTCCTAAAGAGGCTACGAATTACTGCAGTGGTGGCAGCAGCATCTGCCTGCAGCACAGACAGAGCCAGGCATCTGCAGGACTAACCAGCCACCCTGACACAGTCCCCAGTCCGGTACTGATGAAGCAACAGACCCTCACCAGTCCACATCCTTCTCTCTGCCTTGTGCTCCCTCGACCCTTGCCCACCTGGCACTGTCTCTCTTGAACAGAAAGGACTGCTTTTAACCCCAGCCCACACAGATCCTGGGAACTCCTTCTATAGTATAATCACAGCATCAGCCACTTGCTGCAGGACAGGGAATGGAAGCAATGCCAACTCAGCAAGAGTGGCACTGCATGAGGACAAGCCAGGCACCTACCATGCACCCTGTGCTAGGAAGACTGGGATAGGTACCAATTACTTCATTGGAAATTAATCTCCTTTCTACCACAGAAATATATATATATTCATACACATATATAAAGAACACAGTTGATTGGCATGACCAGTATTCACAAGCCCACTGAGCTTGCTTCTATACCAACACCACCAACTGGGCAAAGCCAAGACAAGACAGGAAACCCTCTTGTCACCACAGACAAGCAGATGTCACTCTGCACACATTAAAAGCTTTCAGGAGCTGTGGAGTACAAAAGTCACTCAAGCCAGTTTTGAATAGCAACTCTGAGTCAGAAGCCAAGGTATAGAGCTCCCCTGTCTTTAGGGGAGAGAGCGATCTCGGGTCCAACATCTTTCAGAAACAGGAGCAAATCTTCTGAGAAGACCTCTCTCAGCTCATTCATTCACATGCATGAAGCCATAAGCCTGGCTGAAGACTTCTACAAACACCTCACACACACAGAAACAGGTGTCAGACCCTGAGAAGCAATGGAGCACACTCACAGTCTCAAATAAAAAATGCCTTTTCTCTTGATTCGCAATAAAGTCTTAATCTAAAACATCAGGAGATAGGAATCAGCAAAGAAACAGAGCCCAACTTGCCCCCTGACCCCAACCCACATCCTTACAAAGGTTCCCTGGAGGTCTTGTGATTATGAGGTGTGTGGGAGTAGGAGAGACCAGTAAAACCATCCCATCAGTTGGCTTCCATACTGGTAACAGTCATCTAGAAAGAGCAGGCTTTGGAGAATCCAGATGTCTTGAGCCAAGGCTCCTCCAGTTTGTTGCCTCTCTACATTTTCAGCTCCATTCACGATGCAGACAGAGATGCTGGTTACTTTGCCCTTCTGTACAAGCCAACAGGTTCTCTTCTAACTTCTGTTTCACCTTCCGAAGCTAGAGGGGACCAAAAAATGAGATGGATTTAGGAGACAAGCAAGAGCTTCTGTTTAAACCATAGGGCATAAGGAATTGGCCATATTGGATCTTATTTGCCATGAATTGGGTCTTTCAGTCTGACCAAGATCCCTCTTCCCCTGGGAAAGCAGGGGTTACAATGCTTTCACCCAGAATACACAATACACAAACCCAGGGAGTTGGGATTCAGCAACGGAACAGCCCAAAGCAAAATTAAGGCCTTTTAGCCTTTTCCTAGACTCAAGGGAAAGGTCTGTCATCGCAAGTACATATTTAAAACATTCTTACGCTTGAAACTGGAAGCCAACCTGTTTACTCCCACTTTTGCTGGCTGCATTGCATAGACTGGGCAGACCACAGGGCTCGTTTCCCTGCTTCATCTGTTCGTATTATAGCAGCACCTCAAACCTCTATCAGAAAGAAGTAAATGTTTTTCCACAGGGGAAAGCTTTCCATCCATGCAGCAAAGGCAGGCAATACTAGCAAGCTCTTTTCGCATCATTTTTGGGGAAGATCCAAGAACAATGATTCAGGGCTTCTCTGTGTGGAGTACTGTAATACATTATATTATACCCTATTCCTCCCCTTCCCTTGTGTTACTTACCAGTTCCACAGAGGAGTCCAGCTTTCTCTGAGGACACAGAAACCTGTGGACACATGGGAAAAAGAAAACTCGAATCAGCTGCAGTGAGCTGTTGCTAGCAGTCCTGGAAGGTCTGCAGCTGTTTCTCATCTCCTTCATTGCCCTGTGGTAGCTTTTGCTGGGTACTTAACTGTGGGACACCACCTCAGAACCAGCCACAGGTGAACAGGGCCGCTGCCAGCCAAGTGTCAGCTCACACGGCCCCTGGTGGCCGAGCTCCCTGATCTTCCAGCACTGCTCTTCCCAGGGCGGCTCCTGGGGAGCGGCACAGAGAACCAACCGTGCCGTTTCCGGGGACAAGTCCATCCCCAAATATTCCTCTGGCCTTTGTCACATCGGTGACTCCTAGCTGAAGAGCAAGCAGGGCAAGACATTTCATCCACATGCAAGGTCTAGCAATCACAGGATTTCTTTTACCCCCAAGAAATACTTACATGGCTCTAAGATTATGAACATAACTGCATCGAGTCCAGCGCTCTTGTGCTGAAGTACCAAAGGTTATGTGGGTGGGTGAGGCACCAGCCACAGGTGCACGTAGATTGTAACAGGCTTAATGAATGACTGTGCCTCAGCTGATGCAAACACCACTGCTTGAGAGTTTCACTTCAGATAGGAAGGGGAAAGCTACTTTGTGGTGCCACAGGTAAAGTGATACGTGGTAAATTATTAAACTGTAGTAGCTGGATTGTTTGCAACACATCTCAAGTCAAATACCTGGCTCCAGTTTCAGGAAGGGGAAAGAATTTTGATTGGGGCGAACTTGGAGTTTTTTGAGGAAAGCAGCCAACCAAGCAGGTCCAGCTCACACCTGAGGAATCTGACAGGGAGCACATCGTTTCTGCTCGTGACTGAACTTTGCCACACAAGGGTGGAAAACGCCATGCGACTGTAGGTTTTTGCATCTAACAAAAGCCACACCATACTGTCTTAGTAGTTGTGAAAACACCTGGCAAGTACACACAGTACAAACTACCCTGCCCACTTTCACTGAAGAGGGAAAACTGAGCACACCAGATCCTTCCCTGCCCTTTGAAAGTTACCAAGAAGAGCACGGTTTGGTGCTTGACTTAATTTGTCAACAGCCTGTCTCAAAAGATGCAAATATGGACCGTGTGAGAGCAATGACAGCAAACAATACAGGGACGTTTGCCCCAAAGCACTGCAGAGCAAGTCTACAGTGGGGAAAAGTATCTCACTCCTTTCCTTCATCATGCAGAAAAAACCCAAACAGCTTGGAGCCAAACCTTTGGTGCAAGGGTCACGAAATTCACTTTTAAGCTGAGATTCTCCCAACATCAGGATGCTAGCATAATCTTTTCCAGCAATTGCCAAAACCAGCCTCTTTCTGTGCATCTCCCTGCTACAAACTGGCAGCCAGTCCCTGATGCACTTCTCACCTACGAGAATAACCTGCATCCTCCTACAAATTGGTGAAAACATGTAGAGTCTGAAATCCACTTGCCTGCTGGCACTTGGACAGGGTTTGGATTTTGATTTGTAGCTACTCACTTTCCACCTGTGCCACCTGCCTCCCCTGTTCCCCAAGCAGAGGGCGACAGTGAGGGGGCAAAGGGGGTGAGGATGTATTGCCACCATCCTTCCATAGCACAAACCACATGGCTTCCTTTGTAATACCTGGGACAGACTCTGTAAGGCCACATGTGAAAGATGCGGCCTGAGAAACAGAACCAATTCAGGAAGGTGCAGAATTTAGGTTGTGTCTTCAAGCTGCACAAAAGGTTCCTAAGAGGCACACTGTAAAGCATGCCCAGTACCTGCTAAACCTGGCTCCTTTGCCCCGTTATGGTACCCCTTCAGTGTTTTGCCTAGGCTGATCTAAAGCAGTTTCCAGTCTTAAAACCTGCAACTTCCAGACAAGCAGCGGTACCTGCAATTGCATCCTGAGCACTCCATGCATCCTTCTGTCCTGCTTCCAGAAACATTTGGATTCTCAGATCAGGGAAGTCCACCACAGAGTGAAGGTGATACTGTGATTTTATCAGAAGCAGGAAAAAAATAAATTTAGCCTAATGAACACAGGAATGGCTCACTTATCAAGGCTTTAGCAAAGTAAATGGGCAGCAGACAGAGCCTACGTGGTGCCACCTATCTTATTCTCAATCAGCTTGTTTACCCTACTAATACAGACAATTTTCTCATCGGAAGGGGCTTTAATAGGTATTTAGAAGGTAATTTTAATAGGTATTTAAAAGTGTGAAACAGAGACCAGCCTTTCACCCACCTGTATGATATTCTTTTTTAAAAAAAAAACAAACCAAAACAACATTAAATCAAGTCTCTCAGCTCATGGGAGCACCTCAAGCTCACAGGATTCCTTTGTGCCACCCTCACAGATCCTGCTGCCCTTCGCACCCAGAGGTTATTTTGCCATACAAAGAAAATGTACTTGAGTTTCCAAAACAAATCATTTTGGGAAAGCCTGCACTTAAAAAACGGACTTGAGGACTGGGATATGGGAGAAGAGCTCAAATTCACTGTCACTACTGAAGAGTGTCTGCAAGGTAAGAGCCTCAGGGGAACTGATTGACTTGGCTTATTTTTAAAAATATTTCTGGCTCCAAAACTCAGGTGAAAATTGTAAAATCTTGTAAATTAGAAGCTTCAGTCTAGAAGTTAACAGAAGCCCATTTTCTTTATGTTTAAATGTGATCAGATCAAATTAGAAACATCTGCAATTAGGTATAAAGTGTGCAGCTTACAGAAAAGGAGGCTAACAAAAACTGTAAGTTCACAGTGTCTCTGGGCACCCCAGGTCTAACAGCTCCTGACAAGACCCCGTGCCATCGCATGCTGCAGTGGCACGCTGACCCCCTCGCACATGAGTGCTTGCTGCCAGGGCCACTACCTGATGCCAAGGGTAAGTTTGGGACCTGATATGGGATGAGAAAGTAACCGGGGACCTTTGCCTCAGGATTTGCATTGTGTTAGAGCTTCCTTGGGCTGCCCCTGAGTAGCAGGATCTGGGAGCACTCCTCAGGTGGGACCACAGAGTGACATTTCTCCTTCTCCCTAGAACCTGGTGTTCAGCCACACCTCTGGATGTGGGTAAACCCCAACCTGGTCTGCTCCATCCCTGGAAGCCCTGCCATGGACCCAGCCAGATCCAATGGTCCAGTGGCCTCAGTCCCTGATGCTATGGAAACCTCCTCTCCAAACACATCCTGGGACTACTCTGACTCAGACTGCTTCAAGGAGGATGTGCTGTCATCCTCCAGTGAGGCTGGAAAGGTACAAAAAAGGGAACTGCTTGGGCAGTCCTAAGCACCGTACACATTTAACAATCCTGCAGGAACAAATGAGCTGGCTCAACAGCTCTGTGAGCAGCCACCTACCGTTCCAGCAGGGCTCAGTCAGTGCACAGAGCCCATCTGACAAACAGCTGAGAGTATCACGTGCAGGCAACGAGGCTAACATTTAAAGTATTTAAGCTTTCCATACAGATTTATCCCTGCCCCTCATTCAATTCAGGCCTAATATATCCATGTCCTTTTTTTCCTTCTCCCCAGCTTACTGAGAATGAAGATGCTTTATTGGCTCCTCAGGAGATGCTGGAAACTCCCGAACCCAAAGCAGTTCTGATGCCTCAAACATCTGCAGTCCTGAGACCCCAGAGTGGGACACTTCAGTACCCCAAGCAGACAAGCGCTGAAACCAAGGGAGGCTGGCCCCGTCCCCCCCTGAATTACTGCCTCCTCATCACCCTCGCCCTGTGCAACAGCACCAGTGGCAGTCTGACTGTGCAGCAGATCTACCAGTTCACACGGTACCCACTATCCCCCCCAGTCCTAGTGCAGAATTAGGGGAAGAGGGGAAAAGGGGTACAGGAACCTCCGGTCTACTCGGAGAGCAGCGATGTGGCAGCCAGGATGTACCTTCTGGTCTTAGCTCTGCCTTTGGCTCTAGATGCTGCTGCGAAAACTGCTTCCTCTCTTTCTCAAACCTGAAAGTCTCAAGAGCAGGCATTTTAGTTTTCTCTTACACTTCTTAGAAAAAACACAGTGCTCAATCACACCAGCCATCCTTACACCACAGGAGCCAGAGAGGACCCTCTCCTCCCTCCCTTGCTCTAATACAACGTGTTCTGCTATTTATCACAGCCTCTAATTGCTTCAGCTCAGAACAAATCTTTTCTCTCCATAGGCAGCACTTCCCATTTTTTCAAACGGCCCCAGAGGGCTGGAAAAACACAATCCGACACAATCTGTGTCTCAGAAGCTGCTTTAAGAAAACTACTGGCTTTGTGTGTGGTGAAAGAAACCGCAAGTCCCGGCTATGGAAACTGACTGCAGAAGGACGCAGAAGGTTTCAGAAGGAAGCACTGGCTCTGCCCAAGGAGGCTCTCGACTTGGTGCGCCAAAGCATGAGCAAACCAGGTATGTTTCAGAGGGCAGGAGCTCCACAAAATGCAGAGCAAGTCAGACTTTACCAGATTCCCACCATGGAAGGGATATGGGTGTGCACCCAAGCCAGGCCACGGTCACCAGCACTGCAGGACACCAGGGCTATGAGACAATACCAGGCACCTGGAGATCCCTACAGAGATACGTACAGCCACAAGCAGGCCTTGGTCACCAAACCAGCCAAAACCTCTCCTTTAATGAAACCAGCATAGTGAGAGAGACAAACCTAGCTATGTACAAACAGAGAGCCTTCATCTCAGCATCACATGCTCAGCAATACAAACCCAGTCAGTTTGACATGGATAAGGACTGAGGCTGTAGCAGCAGTGCCCACAGAGTCACCACAGCCCAAGTAACTATTGCAACCTCCGCTCTATCTTTTGCAGATCTCATGACATCTCTCTTCAGCCTGTGATTCCTTCTGGCTCCCTGCTTTGGAAACATGTACCATATATTTTTGTGTATTTTCAAACAAAGCTTGTTTTCTCAAGTGCTGCCACAGGTAGCTTCCCAAAAACTGTGTCTGAAAATTAATAAGCATTGTGACACAAGGGCTGAAATTTAAAAGGGGGAGGGTGGGGGGAAGAAAGATGACTAATCTAATTTCCTTTGGTAAGGCCAGTTTTTGCTCCAGCTGCACACATCTCAAGTTGCAGCGGTATTTTGACATGTGGTACCTGCTACAAGTTTAACACAAAGTCCTCCACACAAGCTGTTGCCTCTTGCAATGTCCTTGTAGTGCAAAGGATTATGCTGCAGGAGAAGGTTGATCTGTTCCCTAACAAGGGGTCTCAGCCCACAGGTCAGAGGCTGAGCAGAGAACATCTTAGTTGGCTGAGTGAGAGGAGCCCCTACCATACAGGTATTATTCCAAGCTGTTGCACTTGTCCAGCCAGCTGTAAAACCAGCAGGCAAAGACCCACATAACTGCTGGGCAGGCTGCTTTGCAAGGTGCTTGGAATTTCTGCCACTTGGCAGAAACTGGAAAGCGCTGCAGAGTGTGAGGAGGGAGAGTTACATTAGCAAAGAAATGATGCAACAAAGAGAAAAAAAACTTACTTGCTTCTCCAGCAAGAGTCAAGAAAATCACATTCCTGGGTCAGAATTCAGTCAGGCAGCAGCTATCTAGCGTTCCAGAAAAGTAGATTTTTCAAACCTTCCTCCTGGCTGCTGTGGCAGTTGCTTGATTTGAAGCACAACGTGTCCAGTCCCACGTGCAGCAGGAGCCAGGGTGCCTGGTGAACAGGGGCCAAACAGCACCCAGCCATGGTGCGGGCTCTGCACTTCACTGCTGGTTTATATTCTTTAGACCTGTGCCACAGGGAGAGGACAGCAGGAGGCAGCCCACACCCACCCACAGGATGAGAGGGCAGGCTGGGCACACCCCAGAATCCAGTGTAAGAGAACAGATGTGTTCACAGCCAACGGATCCCCAGGCTCACCTCTACACGCACAGGCTCGGGTAGCAGCAGGCAAAGCACGGCGGGGCCGGACTGCAGGTGAGCAGTAACAGCACCTGAGCCACCACAGAAGGCACGTGGAGGGAGACAGAGACTGTCAGTCCCGCATTTGACAGCGCAGGCTGTCTGAGCAGGACCTGATCATCCCTGCCAACAGCAGGGGAAGTTGGAACTAGGTGTTTTTTGAGGTCCCTTCCAACCCAAACTATCCTGTGATTCTACAATTTTATGGTTGATGAAGGCCTGGCTGCACTGCATGGCAGCACTGACATAACCTTGGCACTGCAGTTCAGAGACTCTCCAATCGCACCAGGCTAGACCAGAAGCACCCTCTGCTCTGACTATATATATGTATTTAAAAAAAAAAAACAAACGACAACAACAAAAACAACATTCAAGACAGCTGTAGAGCTGTGAATGGGCAGGAAAGCAAAGGCACTGGAGCAGTACTACCAGACAGACTGAGAAGTGGTTAGGTGGGAGGACAGTGCACTTCGAGGGTGTATGACGGCCTCGGGTTCGTAATAAAAAATGGAAGAAGCCTGAAACTCGATAAAGTTTCGGGCAGGGCAGGGAAGAATGGGGTCTGCCCCACACACACCCCGGCTGGGCATCACACAACGGGCACCGAGTGGGACAGGTGTCCCGGCCCCGCTGCAGCCCGGGCACAGCGCAGCACGACTGGGCCACCTCCTGCCACCGAACCGCCCGGGGAGCTCCAGGAGCCGGGGCTTTGCCCGCGGCCG